AATATCTGTGGCTTCTGATCACCTAGGACTTTTGGAGGAAATTTACAACTCTTTGAGAGAAAGACAATACAAAGCAGACTTTTAAGGTAAAGGGTGAATGTTAAAAACTGTGTAGATGGACCAGGGAATATGGAAGTTGTGTGCAAATGGAAGATAGTGCTTTTCATAGCAGTCTTCATTAAGCACTGTGGTTTGTACAGGGAAACAAAAAAGCTACCTAAACGGATCCAACTAAGTTGATAGAATACAACCACCGTGCTGTTAAGACTATTGACATATCCAGCTCTTTACTCTTTTGTCCTTTATCGCTCCATTTAAAGATGGCTGAAGGTGGACATAGATACCAAGCTGCAGAGGACAAGACGAATGCATTGAGTGAGCATGGCCAGGCCAAATATTTTCTGAGTATGTAATCACTCTGTGATAATCAAAGTGTTTTTCACTAATAACAAACACAAAAATGGGTGGCTCCGTCAGTCAAGTGTCTAGCTCTTGATTTCAGCTCAGGTCATGATCTCACAGTTCATGAGTTCAAGGTCTACATTGGGCTCCCCACTAACAGTAAGGAGCCTTCTTGGGATTCTCTCTCTCTCCCCCCCTCTCCCGCTTGATATCTCTCTCCCTCTCTCTCAAAATAGTAAGTTTAAAAAAAAAAAAAAGAAACTTCCTGCTGTTCTTACATTCACAATTTTGTCTTTAAGAGACAGGTAAGGTATTGGAAATGAAAATGAAAATGATAATTTTAGGTACAACTGAAAGTTTATGAAATGCAAAAGTGAGGAAAGCACAACTGACATTTGCAGGCAGATGGGCTCACTTAGGGTTACAGCCTCACTACTTAATAACTGTGTCTTCCTAGACAGGACATCAATCTCTGAGCTTTAGTTTTCTCGTCTGTAAAACTGCACAGGTAGTGTTTATGGTGCTGGGAGGCATGGAGGGAATAACAATACTTTGACTGAAGAGGCTTTACAAGGAATAAATAAGAGTATGTGGGCAAAATATCTACTACTGGGAGCCTGGCATACATTTTACACTCAATAAATCAGTGTTATTTAAAAAATAAATAAAGGGGCACCTGGGTGGCTCAATCGGTTAAGCATGCAACTCTTGATTTTAGCTCAGATCATCTCACAGTTCATGCAATTAAGCCCCACCACCAGGCTCTGCATTGATAGCATGGAGCCTGCTTGGAATTCTCTATCCCTCTTTCTCTCTGTCCCTTCCGTGCGTGCTCTCTCTCAGTCCAAATAAATAAATAGGGGCATCTGGGTGGCTCAGTTGGTTAAGCATCCAACTTTGGCTTAGTCATGATCTCACCATTCAAGAGTTTGAGCCCTGCATAGGGCTCTGTGCTGACAGCTCAGATCCTGGATCTGCTTCAGATTCTATCTCCCTCTCTATCTGCCCCTCCCCCACTTACACTCACGTCTCTGTCTCTCTCAAAAGTAAATAAACATCAAAAAATTTTTCAATAAATTAAACAAACGTAAAAAAAAATGGGCAAAGACTTGAACAGACGTTGTTCCAAAGAAGCTATACCAAACAGCCAATAAGCACGTGAAAAGATGCGCAACATCATTAGTCACTAAGGAAATGCAAATCAAAACCACAATAAGGTATCACTTCACTTCACCACCTAGGATGGTTGTAATAAAAATAAGAATTATGAGAAAGAAGAAGAAAATTATTTGGAGAAGATATGGAGAAACTAAAACTCCTGCCACAAGGCTGATTAAATGTAAAACAGTGCTGCCAATATGGTTGGGCATAGTTCCTCAACAAGTGAAACACAGAATTACACGTGATCCAGCAAGTCCACTCTTAGATATATACTCAAAAGAATTGGAAACAGGAACTCAAGCAGATATTTGTAAGCCAATGTTCACTGCCGCATTATTCACGGTAGCCAAAAGTGGAAAATACCAAGTGTCCATTAACACATGAACATAAAATGAAATATAAGCACACAATCAAATATTACTCAGCCATAAAAAAATTATTTTTTTAATGTTTATTTATTTTTGAGAGACAGACAGAACGTGAGCAGGAAAGAAATAGAGAAAGAAGGAGACAGAATCCAAAGCAGGCTCCAGGCTCTGAGCTGTCAATACAGAGTGTGACATGGGGCTCAAACCCATGTACCAGGAGATCATGACCTGACACTTAACCAAATGAGCCACCCAGGCATCCCAAAAGAAATTAAGTTCTGATACATGGTACAACATGAATGAACCTTGAAAGCATTGTGCTAAATGAAATAAGCCAGGTACAAAAGCACAAATATTTTTTAAAAATTAAAATTAAAAGATGTTTAAGAGCTAAAAGATTATATGCTTCCAGAATGAACATATTCAAGAGAGAGATTATATTAAAGGTTACCAGGAGCTAGGCAGAAGGGGCAATGGGGAGTTACTGAATAACCAGTTAGACTTTGTTTGGGGTGAAAAAGTTTCAGAAATGGTGGTGATAGGGGCACCTGGGTGGCTCAATGGGTTAAGCACCAGACTTCAGCTCAGGTCATGATCTCAGGGTTGGTGCCTTCGAGCTCTGCTGAGAGCCTGGAGCCTGCTTCAGACTCTGTGTCTCCCTCTTTCTCGGCTCCCCCCCACCCCCTTTCTCGGCTCCCCCCCCAACTTGCGCTCTGTCTCTCTCTCCCATTCTCAAAAAAATGAATAAACATTAAAAAAAAATTTTTAAATAGCAGTGATGGCTGTGCAACATAGTGAGTGTAGTTAATGTCACTGGACCGTACACTTAAAAACTGCTACACTGGCACATTTTGTTACATATATTATACCAGTGTTTTCTATTTTTTTGATGTTTGTTTATTTTTTGATAGAAAGAAAGAGCACAAGCCAGGGAGAGGCAGGGGGGTGGGGACAGAGGATCCAAAGTAGGCTCTGCACTGATAGGCTATCGGGGCTGGAACCCCTAAACTGTGAGATCATGACCTGAGCCAAAGTCGGAGGCTCAACTGACTGAGCCACGCAGGCGCCCCTTACCAGTGCTCATTAAGATGATGTGGTTTCCCTGACAAAACTCTCAAACAGCTTCCCACTTCCCTCAGAATGAAAACCCAAATTTTCAAAATACCCTACCAGGTCCTACACTATCTGTCCCCTGCTCTTTCCTGTCTGACTTTATCTCCTACACTTGCTCCCTTACTATCTCATTCTGCTTTAACTTACTGGCCTCCTAGACTGCTCTTTGAACACACCAAACAGGCTTCCTCATGGCCTTTGCACTTTCTTTCCCCCAGATAGCCACAGAACTAGCTTTCCTTCAGCTCTTTACTCAAAAATTACCTTTTCAGGGAGGCCTTCCCTGACAAGCTATTGTAAAACTGCAGCGTCTTACTCCCAACCAGTGTCACCATGCCTCTGTATTTTTCTCCAAAAGATTTTCAACATCCGACCTACTGGGCATTTGACTTATTACCTAGCTCCAAAATGGAAGCTCCATGAGCAGAAAAATTTGCGTCCGTTTTGTTTAGTGTTGGTATCCCCAGAGCCTAGGGGAGTGCCCAATAAAGATCTGTTGAATGAATACAAGAAGACCGCTCTTCAATGACACCACAATCTAAAATGCCCCATCCGCAGCATTATCCCTACAAATTAACATACCGAATTATACAAAACCTGAAGGACTAGGACTTAAAGACTGCTAAATAAGTATCCTAAGGGTTTCATTACCCTCTTCCCTAGGGGCTGGTATTTTTACATACTCAAATCTATCCAGAAAACAACTCGGATTCAGCCGGGTGGGGGGGGGGGGAGGATTAAAGGATTTAAACTCAAGAAATCCAACTTAATTCGCTAAATTACACATAACAGGTTATCTCCCTCGACTTTGTTATGAAAATATGGAGTGGCTCCATTTCTGCAGCAGTAAAGGCTGGATTCGGGGGCCGTAATCCCGAGGGCCCACGGCAGGCAACCGGTGGCACAGCTGGGGAAAGCTCACTTTTTGACTGGCAGAAGCCCTGGGAAGGCCTGCGGCACCGGGAGGGGCTTTTCCGGCGTGCTCCGGAGGAGGAAGGGGACCGGAGGATGCCTTTCCAACGCACCTTCCACACACTGCCCAGCGGCCTGCTCTTCGGGACTGAGCACGCACCCCCAATGTCTGGGAAGGCTAGACCGATACCCCAGGGGCTGGAGCTGGCTGAAACAGGGGTAGGAAGGACACGTTACCCTGAGAAGAACCAGTTCAACGGGTCTCCTCCTTCAGCCGGATGACTTGTGAAGCGCCACAACAGCAGGGCCTGGAACCCAGGCATCCAGGCTGGAAACCAACTCAACAGACCTTATTCCCGCGCTGCAGAGCGCACGCTTCGCGTCACGGCGCCCACGGGACACATCAGCTGCGGGCGACGGATCCTCTCCACCCCTCCCTCCCCGGGCCGCACCGCCCCCGTCCCCGCCCCCGCCCCCGCCCCCGCCCCCGTCCCCGCCCCCGTCCCCGTCCTCAGCCTCCAAGCTTGGTGCGCTGCAGCCCTCCCATCAAGCCCAGCTGGCTAGGCGGCGCGCATGCGCGTGGACTCTCGCTGCCGCTGAGCACTCCGGGAAGTGTAGTCCCTGTGCAGGTGCCGGTGGGCCGCCAGAGTCCCGCATCCCGGAGGAACCTGGAGAAGTCACAACAGTCTTGCCACCCCCGTCCTCATTACCATCTTTACACCTGTCCAGTCACCTCGCACTCACGGTCCATCCCCGCGCGCCGGGCTTCGGTCAGGGCGCGCCCCGAGGAAGAGCGCGAGACCTTCTCTTCCCTTCAGCGGGCTGTGCTGGAGGAGGCGGGGTCCACGGCCCGCCCCCCCGCTGCCACCCCCCCTCCCCTCCCGACGGGTATCGGGCCGGTGCCCGAGGAGAGGCGGCGGCCCCCGCAGCGGCCGCAGGAGGGGCGGCGGCGGCGGGCGCCGCAGGCGATGCCCCTGCCCGGCTGCTCCGGCGGGGGACAGTGCGAGCGGCGGCGGCGGGGGAGTTGGCGGGGGGCAGCGGCTGCGGCGGCTGCAGCAGAGGGGCCGAGAGCTGGCGGCGGCGGCGGTCGTGAAGGGCATCGGTAGCGGCGGTGATGGCAGTGTCGATGTGAGTGTTTACTGGCTGGGGACCCCGGGGCTGCAGAGCCTGCGGCCGGCGGCCCGGCGGCGAGCGGGAGGCCGGGGCGGCGGAGGGATGCTGTGTGCGCGGTGTGGACCCGGGAGACGCCGCCTGTCGCCGCCGACGGTCGGGCAGAGGCGGGAGCCGGGCGCTGCGGCGGCGGGCGCCTCGCACCGCGGCCCGGTGTGGGGGTCCCGGGCGGAGGCGGGGGCAGCGCAGGCCGAGGGGCGTCTGCGATTGTTCTCAACACCCCTCCCCCACCCCACCCCGTGTGTCTGTTTGTCACTTGCAGCTGAAGATGGAAAGAGCCAGGCGAAGGGGAGGCGGCGGCGGCCGCGGCCGCGGCGGCAAGAATGTAGGGGGCTCTGGCCTAAGCAAGAGTAGACTCTATCCCCAGGCCCAGCACTCCCACTACCCCCACTACGCGGCCTCAGCCACCCCTAATCAGGCTGGGGGTGCAGCCGAAATCCAGGAGCTGGCCTCCAAACGAGTGGACATCCAGAAAAAGAGGTTTTACCTAGACGTGAAGCAAAGCTCCCGGGGCCGGTTCCTAAAGATAGCTGAAGTCTGGATAGGGAGAGGCCGGCAGGACAATATCAGAAAGAGTAAACTGACCCTGTCCCTGTCTGTGGCCGCGGAGCTGAAGGACTGTCTAGGGGACTTCATCGAGCATTACGCCCACCTGGGCCTGAAAGGCCACCGACAAGAGCATGGCCACGGCAAAGAGCAAGCGTCCAGGAGGAGACAGAAACACTTGGCACCCTCCCCACCAGTCTCTGTAGGGTCCGAAGACCACCCTCATAGTGTCCTCAAAACAGACTACATAGAGAGGGACAATAGGAAATATTATCTAGACCTAAAGGAGAATCAGCGGGGTCGCTTCTTAAGAATTAGACAAACCATGATGCGGGGGACTGGCATGATAGGTTATTTTGGTCACAGTTTGGGCCAAGAACAGACTATTGTGCTCCCAGCACAAGGAATGATCGAGTTCCGTGATGCCTTGGTTCAGCTAATTGAAGACTATGGCGAAGGGGACATAGAAGAACGAAGAGGTGGAGATGATGACCCACTTGAACTCCCAGAGGGGACTTCTTTCAGAGTGGACAATAAAAGGTTCTACTTTGATGTGGGCTCTAATAAATATGGAATTTTCCTGAAGGTAAGTGAGGTGAGGCCACCTTACCGTAATACTATTACTGTTCCATTCAAAGCTTGGACAAGGTTTGGGGAGAATTTTATCAAGTATGAAGAAGAGATGAGGAAAATTTGCAACAGCCATAAAGAAAAGAGAATGGATGGCAGAAGGGCCAGTGGTGAAGAACAAGAATGCCTCGACTAGAGTGAAATTGAACTCCATCAGGCAAAATTTTAAATCATAAAATTGGCTAAAAGTACTGATCCATAATCATTTGAAGAAGTTTTTCCTCTTTTTTGGCCCTTTGTTATTAGTAATACCTCTGGTAGTTTATACTTCAAGGAGTCTGATTCTCATGTTATACGTACAACATTATATAATTCTTATGGGAATTCCGACCTTCCCAGAGCTAAGTAGTTTAGCTGCTTCAACTGCTCCAGACCATTGAAGTATGCAAATCAGCACAAAATGTGACATTCTGACCTTCTAAATACCATAACTAAGATTTACATTGCACTATGACGTAATCCTGAAAAAAGATACATATACTTAATATGGAAGTGTAAATTTCTATTTAACAAGTTCCCCAAAAAAGAATTCCATCCCTACATCATTAAAAGCTGCTAAGCTTACCTGTAGGGCAGTTACCACAGAAACAGAAATTGACCTCAAGTATAGTCCAAATATATTTATTTATAAAAGTACATGTAGAAATATATCCGTTGTTCATTGGATAACAATATTAAACCATACCATGAAGGAGTCAAATCTTACAACTACTACAGTATTCTATAATTTCAAATTTTGTGGTAACCCTGCAGTTTATAGCTGCCATATCAAAGCCGTGGGAGAGTTTTAATTGGTTATTCTAACCTAGTTATAATCCTATCTTTACCTCTACTTACTATACCATATATTTTTATTGACTTTCTGAAGTTTTAGGAATTATTTTTATGTCACTGTTGAGTGGGAGGCTTCATCCTATGGCTTTGCTATGGAAATCTTGGTGTTTTAGCCTTTCATGCTAATTTGAAGGTTGTGAGAGGGGGTTTTTTTCCCCAAAATATATCGTGGACTCAAGGTGTTCTATTTTATGCTTCTTCTTTAGCACTATTTCAGAGGGGTTGGTGCACCAGTTCACTGATACAAAAATACATCTGTAATAATACATCTTAGTAGCACTTTTGCAATTGCTACCCTTAAAACCGTGTCAACACTTCCAATATAGACCTGGCTTTTACAGGTATTTTAATTCCAGAAGAAAAAAACAGACCAAACAACTCTTTTTCTAAAAAGCATTTAGAATATAAATTTTCAGCCTGGAAAAATATTTTAGATTGGTTACAAACATATTTGAAAGGAAAATTCAAGCATTTTCCAAGGTGCTCTTTATGATACTTAAAAAGGTTTACTTTACACAAGACTCACCCAGTTACCTGTATTAAAAATTACTTTCCAGGAAGTGCCACAGCAATTTTTCAACACCTAAGCAATTTTTAAACAAGTGGATATATTGTATATGTGTACCAACCCACCCTGTATTAACTGACTAGAATTTTATCTGTTGAGCTGCATTTTATTCTGATTGAAATTACTGTCTTTTATCTTGGCTTTATTCACCTCCCACACGATAAGTCCATATAATCATGTTTAAGAGCCAGACACTGATTTCAACCCCCAAATATAGCTCTCATTGATGAGAGCTGGCTGCATGGACTGAGATCAGAATGTAGCTCTCCTTTTATATATCATAACCAATTCAAAATTATTTTAATAATTTTTTTTCCTTCAGAAGTTTGTCCCCAAATACATTTAAGTAAGGTCACTAAGAAACGTTATGAGTTAAGAAAATAGTATTACTGGCTTATCTTGTTTAAAAATAAACAATCAGTAACCCAGACATATATGCTGGTATTGGTTTTCAGATTGTATTTCACATTTCTTCAAGTAGTATGAAGAAATCTCATTAGTTCATTATAATTGTGGACCATCTGGATTACTATGGAACAACTGAAGGTTGGAAGATAGTTGGAAATACTAGAGTTAATAGCACATGGTGGGTGTTGAGACTCTAAAAGTAGCAAGGATCTTTAAACAGTCCTAACTGTAAAATAACTATTGTAGACTTGATAAAAAGTAGTTTTTGATATATGAAGGAGTGATGTGCACTTGAATTACTGTACTACTGATTGTTATTGCTGCCCATCATAGTGCCTATTAATAATTATCAACCTGTCAGATTTTGGCAAACTGGAGCTTTGAATGTTCCAGTATTCGAGTGTTCCTGTCACTATTGCTATGACTGTATACTCTCTCTTAAAAACCTTCCCTCCTAAAATATTTATATCCATTAAGTCTAAATGATTTCTGTCTTGGTTTTCAGTCTGATAAGATTTGAGAGTGTATGTCTATATACATACATACGTGTGTGTGTGTATATATACATACACACAATACATGTCAGACTTAAGTATCTTTAATTCATTGTATATAAATATTAATTTTGCACTAATTGTTTAAAGAATTAGTTAAGTAGCCAAATCTTCTACATTGTATGTATACTTCAAAGTCATTACCATCTCAAAGCTATAGATTGGTAGACGCGTATATACCGGCAATCAAATATACTTTAGAATCACTAAGCCTTCTGCCAGTCCTTTTGTTTCACTTTTTTATATGTATTCATTGAAAAATGAAATGATGTTATGATTTTTTGATACTTAAAATCCCCAATTATTCATTAGCCATACTCAAATAAGATCCAGTTCAAAACTCTGGTATTAGGACATGTATTGCCATGTATCTTATAAAATAAGCTACTATTTTTATCTGTGCAATATACATTTTATTTATTGTCATTTGTAACATAAATGGAGCTGCAAGTGTACATGGTATTCTTCAAAATAATAGGATCCCTGCCTTGACGACATTAAACTCTTAAGGCAACTGGATGCTAGAAGTCAAAAATGAACATTCAAGTTAGTAACCAAAATTCCTAGTTCACTGTATAATTCTAAAACACTGATGATGTTTGCACATAATAACCCAACCATAATGTGGTATAGACTCAAAACTGTAATAATATAAGCTAATAGTATGAAATTTGGAAACGGGTTCCTCATAATAGTTGGCAGTGTGCTCCTAGCAATTGAAAGCAACACTTCTCTGTTGCTTATATGCAAAAGATGCAATGTATTATAAAGTATTAAAAGTTCTGCCACATTTTATAATTTTCCTTGTTAAAGCCCCAAACTGCCATGTCCCTTAAACTTGAGTCAAACACAAGCTTATTTGCACTAAAGAGCATGGCCAAAAAGTAAGCGACAGGGTGGAAAAGCAAGTTGGAACCTCTTGAAATAATGGGTTCTAATGGAAGAATTTCACATTTGTCTATTTGAAAGCTATATGGTCCAGGCAGACAATCTGTCAGTTCACTAATTTAATAATGCACTTTACCTTTTGTATATAGAAGATGTACATTTATGCCACTTGACAGGTGGGGTGTGTTTCAATAACTATGTAGTTAGACTCTGTAGGGTGATCTTTTGCATGCAGATGTGTGTGTCGGAACTGCTAGAATAACAAGTTTCCACTAAATCAGTGTAACGGAGAAGGGTAGAAGATGCTTTTGAAACAACTCCCAATTCATTTAACAAACACTTTTAAAGTAGTGTTCATATTTGTATTCGAAAGAACTAAAATCAATGAAAAAAAAAAAAAAAAACTATTTCTAGCCCAGATTAGTACTACTGTGGAGACTACATCTAGTTGAGACTCCCCATAATACCCTGAAAGTTAATTTTGGGAATTTGTGCAGAAAAAAAAAATATTAGTAATTCCGTTTCATTGTTGATGTGTGTTAAAACAACTAATGAAAAGACGGTACATGATACTGTATAAGATTTAAAGGTATGGTTGGCTGATACAGTGTCATGAAGAGAAAACACCCAGACTAAAGAAAGTTTCAAATTAAGAAAATACAAAGAGCTTCAGAACCATTGCTAAAATAAATACAGTATTATTTCAAAATTTGCAGAACTAACTTTCACCAACCAAAAAGGGTATTGGGAGGTTTAGTGTATCTTTTCATCCTAAAAACTTCCTGAGATGTACATTTGAAAACTAGATAATTGTTGCTTAATAATAGGTTGTATGTACTCTACTAAGAAACACTGTGTACTAACAATTCATCGAGAATATGCTATATTTACTGCATTCATTTTATATATATGGATAAGAATACATTATATATAGTCATCCTATCTTAATATATTCATGTATTTATATTGTAATTTTGCAAATATTTTCAGTAAAATAAACATTTATCTGAGCTGCACAATTTGAAGAGGATGAAATTGGAATACACCCTTAGACATTCATTTTTACTAAGCAGCTACCATTGAAAGCTGGTGTATGTACTATCACTTCTTTAGATTTTGTTTATTTTAATATCTAAGTGATTAGGACTTAGTTTGAATTTTTAAGTGGTGTTCTGAAAATAATTTTTATAAGCGTGAGATTTTTTTCCCCTGCTTATTTCAAAATGTCTTTCATTGGAACTATTTATAAAATCCTATTCCAAGCTTTATGTAAGGGCTTTGCTTAGTCACCACATAGTTTGAAGTCTGTGTTTACTAAAACACCAAACATCTTTGGCAGGATAAAATCTAAAGTAAACCACAAAGAGAAGTTAAAATTGATTCTATGCCAACAGAATAACACAGGTATAATATTTATCACTGCCAAGTAAGATTCTTATAGTCCTTCTGAAGTTTCCTTAAAGATTTCTTGAATTTCACAGCTGACTGGTGGCTAGTGGCTAACCCATCAGAGGAAGAGAATAAGGATGTTAGTATGCTGTTGAGACAGTCCATAGTCCACAGTGCTGTAGTAAAGAGGTATAGGGAAAATGTGTTTTTCCCAATTTAAGTTCATGTGAAAGTTGAGTCACACTCACTGTCACAAAGTAAAGATACCAAAACTTATGTAGGTGGATCTTGGAAAAACAATATATGTATTAGTAT